GATGGAGTTGATGATAGTGGTGTTGACTCACCAGATGAGGAGGTAGATGTCAGGGTGTTGACTCACTAGATGAGTAGGTAGATGTCAGGGATGTTGACTCACTAGATGGTAGGGGTAGATGTCAGTGGTGTTGACTCACTAGATGAGTAGGTAGATGTCAGTAGTGTTGACTCACTAGATGGGTAGGTAGATGTCAGGGGTGTTGACTCACCAGATGAGTAGGTAGATGTCAGGGGTGTTGACTCCAATGAATGGTAGGTAGATGTCAGGGGTGTTACTCACTAGATGAGTAGATGGGTAGATGTCAGGGTGTTGACTCACTAGATGAGGTTGATGACAGTGGTGTTGACTCACTCGATGAGTAGGTAGATGTCAGGGTGTTGACTCACTAGATGAGTAGGTAGATGTCAGGGTGTTGACTCACTAGATGAGTAGGTAGATGTCAGGGTGGCTCACTAGATGGTAGGTAGATGTCAGGGTGTTGACTCACTAGATGGGTAGGTGGACGATGGTGTTGTTGACTCACTGGATGTAGGTAGATGTCTGGGGTGTTGACTCACTAGATGAGTAGGTGGATGATAGTGGTGTTGACTCACTAGGGGAGTGATAGATGAGTAGTGTTTTGACAGAAGATGAGTAGGTCGATGATAGTGGTGTTGACTCACTGGATGGTAAGGTAGATGATGAGTGGTGTGACTCACTAGATGAGTATGTAGATGTCAGGTGTTGACTCACTAGATGAGTAGGTAGATGATATGGTGTTGACTCACTAGATGAGTAGGTAGATGTCAGGCGTGTTGACTCACCAGATGAGTAGGGTAGATGTCTGGGGTGTTGACTCAGAAGATGGGTAGGTAGATGTCAGAGTGGTGACTCACTAGATGAGTGGTAGATGATGGTGGTGTTGACTCATAGATGAGTAGGTGAATGTCAGGGTGTTGAGCTCACTGGATGAGTAGGTAGATGATAGTGGTGTTGACTCACTGGATGAGTAGGTAGATGTCAAGGAGTGTTGACTCACTAAGATGAGTAGGTAGATGTCAGTGGTGTTGACTCACTGGAGTAGAGAGGTAGATGTCAGTGGTGTTGACTTCCTAGATGAGTAGGTAGATGTCTGGGTGTTGACTCACTGGGGTGCAGTAGATGTAAAGGGTGTTGACCACCAGATGGTAGGTAGATGTCAGGGGTGTTGACTCACTAGATGAATGGGTGACGATAGTGTTGTTGGCTCACTAGATGAGTAGAGTAGATGTCAGCGGTGTTGACTCTCGATGAGTAGGTAGATGTAGGAGTGTTGACTCCCTAGATGAGTAGGTAGATGTCAGGGTTGATGACTCACTAGATGAGTAGGTAGAGATGACAGTGGTGTTGACTCAGAAGATGAGTAGGTAGATGTCAGAGTGTTGACTCAGAAGATGAGTAGGTAGATGTCAGAGGTGTTGACTCACTAGATGAGTAGGTAGATGTCAGGGTGTTGACTCACTAGATGAGTGGAGTAGATGTCTGTGGTGTTGACTCACTGGATGAGTAGGTAGATGATAGTGGTGTTGACTCACTAGATGAGTAGGTAGATGATAGTGGTGTTGACTCCCAGAAGTGAGCAGGTAGATGTCAGGGTGTTGACTCACTAGATGAGTGAGGTAGATGTCAGGGGTGTTGACTCACTAGATGAGTAGGTAGATGTCAGGGTTGACTCACTAGATGAGTAGGTAGATGTCCAGGTGTTGACTCACTGATGAGCAGGTAGATGTCAGGGGTGTTGACTCACCAGATGAGTAGGTAGATGTCAAGGGTGTTGACTCACTAGATGAGTAGGTAGATGTCCAGGGTGTTGACTCACTAGATGAGTAGGTAGATGTCAGGGGTGTTGACTCACTGGATGAGTAGGTAGATGATAGTGGTGTTGACTCACTGGATGAGTAGGTAGATGTCAGGGGTGTTGACTCACTAGATGAGTAGGTCGATGATAGTGGTGTTGACTCACTAGATGAGTACGTAGGTGTCAAGGTGTTGACTCACTAGATGAGAGGAGTATGTAAGTGGGTTGACTCACTAGATGAGTAGGTAGATGTCAGAGGTGTTGACTCACTAGATGAGTAGGTAGATGTCAAGAAGTGTTGACTCACTGGATGGTGACTAGATGCATGGGTCGATGATGGTGGTGTTGACTCACTAGATAGTCACGTAGGTGTCAAGGGTGTTGACCCACCAGATGAGTGGTAGATGTCAGGGTGTTGACTCACTAGATGAGTAGGTAGATGTCAGGGTGTTGACCACTAGATGGTAGGTAGATGTCAGAGTGTTGATCACTAGATGAGTGAAGATGTCAGTGGTGTTGACTCACTAGATGAGTAGGTAGATGTCAGTAGTGTTGACTCACTAGATGAGTAGGTAGATGTCAAGGGTGTTGACTCACTAGATGAGTAGGTAGATGTCAGGGGTGTTGACTCACCTAGATGAGTAGGTGATGTCAGGTGTTGACTCACTGGATGAGTGGGTAGATGATTAGTGGTGTTGACTCCCTTGATGAGTAGGTAGATGTCAGGGGTGTTGACTCACTGGATGAGTGAGTCGATGATAGTGGTGTTGACTCACTGGATGAGTAGGTAGATGTCAGGGTGTTGACTCACTTGAGTGGAGGTAGATGTCAGGTGTTGACTCATGATAAGTAGGTAGATGATAGTGGTGTTGACTCACTGGATGAGTAGGTAGATGTCAGGGTGTTGACTCACTAGATGAGTAGGTAGATGATAGTGGTGTTGACTCACTGGATGAGTAGGTAGATGTCAGGGGTGTTGACTCAATAGATGAGTAGGTCGATGATAGTGGTGTTGACTCAGAAGATGAGTAGGTAGATGTCTGTGGTGTTGACTCATTGGATGAGTAGGTAGATGATAGTGGTGTTGACTCACTAGATGAGTAGGTAGATGATAGTGGTGTTGACTCACTAGATGAGTAGGGAGATGTGAGGGTGTTGACCACTCTGATAAGTAGGTAGATGTCAGGGGTGTTGACTCACTCAGATGAGTAGGTAGATGATAGTGGTGTTGACTCACTGATGAGTAGGTAGATGTCAGGGGTGTTGACTCACCAGATGAGCAGGTAGATGATAGTGGTGCGACTCAGAAGATGAGTAGGTAGATGTCTGTGGGACTCACTGATGAGTAGGTAGATGAGCAGTGGTGGACTCACTCAGATGAGTAGGCAGATGATAGTGGTGTTGACTCAGAAGATGAGTAGGTAGATGTCAGGGTGTTGACTCACCAGACGAGTAGGTAGATGTCTGGGGTGTTGACTCACCAGATGAGCAGGTAGATGGTGTTGACTCACTGGATGAGTAGGTAGATGTCAGGGTGTTGACTCACCAGATGAGTGTGTAGATATCAGGGTGTTGACCACTAGATGTGTAGGAAGATGATAATGGTGTTGACTCACCAGATGAGTAGAGGTGATGTCAGGGTGTTGACCTCACCAGATGAGTAGGTAGATGAGGTGGTGTGGACTCAGAAGATGAGTAGGTAGATGTCAGGGTGTTGACCACTAGACGAGTAGAGACTGGGGGTGTTGACTCACTAGATGAGTAGGTAGATGATAGTGGTGTTGACTAACTGGATGAGTAGGTAGATGTCAGGGGTGTTGACTCACTAGATGAGCAGGTAGATGATAATGGTGTTGACCACTAGATGAGAGGTAGATGTCAGGTGTTGACTCACCAGATGAGTAGGTAGATGTCGGGGTGTTGACTCACTAGATGAGTAGGTAAATGTCAGGGTGTTGACTCACCAGATGAGCAGGTAGATGTCAGGGTGTTGACTCACCAGATGAGTAGGTAGATGTCAGGGTGTTGACTCACTGGATGAGAGGTAGATGATAGTGGTGTTGACTCACTGGATGGCAGGTAGATGCTGTCAAAGTGACTCACTGGATGAGTAGGTCGATGATAGTGGTGTTGACTCACCAGATGAGTACGTAGGTGTCAAACGGTGTTGACTCACCAGATGAGTAGGTAGATGTCAGTGGTGTTGACCACCAGATGAGTAGGTAGATGTCAGGTGTTGACTCACTAGGATGAGTAGGTAGATGTCAGGGGTGTTGACTAACTGGATGAGTAGGTAGAGATGTCATTGACTTACTAGATGAGTAGGTCGATGATAGTGGTGTTGACTCACTAGATGCACGTAGGTGTTGGCTAAAGGACTCACTAGATGAATAGGTAGATGTCAGGGGTGTTGACTCACCAGATGAGCAGGTAGATGTCAGGGGTGTGACTCACTGAGATGAGTAGGTAGATGTCAGGTGTTGACTCACTCAGATGAGTAGGTAGATGTCAGTGGTGTTGACTCACCTAGACGAGTAGATAGGAATAGTTGTAGTTGGCCGTTGGTTACAAGTACCAGTGGTAGATTAAGTTGTGATGGCTGTGTTGTTGTTGGTGACCAGTTGAATAGTTGTGGATGGCTGTGTTGTTGCTGCGTGACCAGCCTGTAGCAATAGCTGTGATGTCATGTTGTTGTTGGACTCAGTGGGAGTGCTGTGATGGCTGTGGTTAAAGGTTGCACTCCAGTGGGAGTGGTTGTGGATGGCTGTTGTTAAGCTGGTGACCAGTGGTAGCAATAGCCAGGATGGCTCTCTACAGCAAGTGGAGACCAGTGGTAGTAATTGTTGTGTGCATGTTCTTGCTGTTGCTGCCTCAGTAGTAGCAAGGAAGCTGATGGCTGTACTGTTGTTAAGCTGACTCAGTGGGTAGAAACAGTTGTGGGATGGTCGTTGTTAAGCGACCAGCAGTAGCAATAGCTGTGATGGCTGTACCGTTGTTGTTGACTCAGTGGCAGTAATACCTTGTGGATGGCTGTGCTGGTTGTTGGTGACCCAGTGGTAGCAATATTAGCTGTGATGGCTGTGTTGTTGGTTATGACCAGCAGCAGTAATAGGCTGTGACGACCGTGCTGTTGCGACTCAGCAGTAGTGACAGCTGTGATGGCTGTACTGTTGCTGCTGACCAGTGGCATAATAGTTGTGGATGGCTGTGTTGTTGTTGGTGACCAGTGCAATAGTTGTGATGGCTGTGCCGTTGTTGCGACTCAGTGCAGTAATAGTTGTGATGTGCCGTGTTGTTGCTGGTGACTGAGTGGTAGTATTAAAGGTGGGATGGTACTCGGTTGTTGCTGTTGACCAGTGGGTTAGTTGTGGGATGACTGCGTTGTTGGTGACCGAGTGGTGGCAATAGCTGTGGGGATGGCTGTGGGCAGCTGCCAGCACCAAAAATAGCCAGGATGGCTCTGTTGTTGGAAACAGACTCAGTAGCAGTAATATTGTGGAATAATCAAAGTTGTTGGTGAAGCAGTGAAAGTAATAGGCCAGGTGGGATGGCTGTTTTGTTGTTGGCGACCTCAGTAGCAGTAATAGCTGTGGATGACTGCGTTGGTGACCGAGTGGTAATAGCTGTGGGATGGCCTGTGTTGTTGTTGGTGACCTCAGTGGTGCAATAGTTGTGATGGCTCTGTTGTTGCTGGTGACCAGTAGTAGTAATAGTTGTAGATGACTGTGCGGTTGGTGACTGAGTGGTAGTAATATTTCAGGATGGCTCTGCTGTTGTTGGTGACCGAGCGGGTAGCAATAGTTGTGATGGCTCTGCTGTTGTTGACCAGGCGGTGCAGTAATAGTTGTGATGGCTCTGTTGTTGCTGGTGACCATGGGAAAGGGGCTGAAGCTGTGGGTATTGTGTTGTTTTTGGTGACTCCAGTGGTAATAGTTGTGATGCCGTGTTGTTGCTGGTGACTCAGTGGTGTTGCTGTGATGGCTCGGTTGTTGTTGGTGACCAGTGGTGCAATAATAGCTGTGATGGCCGTGCTGGTTATTGGTGACCTGCGGTAGCACAGCCAGTAGCTGTTGTTGTTGGTGACTCCAGTGGCAGTAATAGTTGTGTGCGGCCAAAGCGTTGCTGGCACCAGTGGTGGTAGTTTAAAGTGGGATGGCTCTGTTGTTGTTGTGTGACCGCAGTAGCAATAGTTGTGACGGCTGCGTTGTTGGTTGGCACCCCAGTGGCAGGCTAGGGTTGGTGGTGGCTGTGTTATGGCGTTGACTCAGTGGTGCAATAGCTGTGGATGGTTGTGTTGTTGTTATAACCTGGTAGTAATGTTGTTGTGGATGGCTGTGTTGTTGTTGACTCAGTGGCAGTAATAATAGTTGAGGATGGCTGTGTTGCTGGACTCTGTCGTAGTAATAGTTGTGTGATGCGTTTGTTGTTGTTGACTCAGTGGTGTGCCAGTTGTGATGGCCTGCCGCGGTTGACCAGTGAGTGGTTGTGATGGCCGTGTTGTTGTTGACTCAGTGGCAGCAGTAACAATGCTTGTGACGGCTGTGTTGTTGCTGGTGACCAGCGGCAGTAATATTGTGACGGCTCGTTGTTGTGACCTGGTGCGGCGAAGTAATGAAGTTGTGGGATGGCTCTGTTGTTGCTGACCGAGTGGCAGTAATAGCGTGATGGCTGTGTTGCTGTTGTTGGTGACCAGTGGTACTTCAATAGCTGTGATGGCCGTGTTGTTGCTGGTGACTCAGCGGCAGTAACAGTTGTGGCGGCTGTGTTGCTTTGGTGACCAGTGGTGCAATAGTTGTGATGGCTGTGTTGCTGTTGGTGACCTGCGGGCAATGAAGTGATGGCTCTTGCTGTTGTTGGTGACCTGCGGTAGTAATAGTTGTGATGGCTGTGTTGGTTGGTTGGTGACTCAGTGGTGGTATGAGCTGTGGGTGGCTGTGCTGTTGCTGGTGACTCAGCAGGTGGGCTGAAGCCAGGGGTGGCTGTGTTGTTAAGCGTTGGTGACTCCAGTGGCAGTAATAGTTGTGATGGCTGTGTTGTTGTTGGCACTGCGGCAGTAATAGCTGTGGGTGGCTGTGCTGCTGTTGGCGACCCGCGGCAGTAAGAAGTTGTGTGCTGTGTTGTTGTTGGGCAACGGGTAGTAATAGCTGTGGATGCCGTTATTGTTGATGACCAGTGGCAGTAATAGCTGCGGATGGCTGTGTTACGGTTTACGCACCAGTAATAGTTGTATTTACCGTGTTGTTGTTGTTGCGATTCAGCGGTAGTAACAGCGTGATGGCCTACGCTGGTGACCCAGCAGTATTGCGACAATATTGTGTTGTTATTGGTGACCAGTGGTGTGCAATAGCTGTGTGGCTGTGTTGTTGGTGACTCAGTGGTAGTAATAATAGTTGTGATGGCTGTGTTGTTGCTGTTGGTGACCAGTGGTAGTAATAATAGTCAGGATGGCCTGTTGCTGCTGGTGACCAGTGGCAGTAATAGGCGCTGGCTACGTAAGCAGTACGGCATCGTGCGGCAGTAATAGTTGCGGGTGGTTGTGTTGTTGCTGGTGACCCAGCAGCAGCAATAGTCAGGGTGGCTGTGTGTTGTTGTTGTTGGTGACCAGCAGGCAATAGCTGTGGGTGGCTGTGTTGTTGTTGGTGACCCGCGCAGGTAATTAGTTGGGGCGGCTGTGTGTTGTTGCTGCTGGTGACCAGTGGCAGCAATAGTTGTGACGGCTCTGTTGTTAAGCTGGTGACTCAGTGCAGTAATAGTTGTGGATGGCCGCGCGCTGGTGACCAGCGGTAGCAATAGTTGTGGTGCCGCGATGGTTAAGGCAGACTCAGTGGTAGTGGGCTGGGGCCAGGATGGCTGTGTTGTTGCTGGTGACTCCAGTGGTAGTAATAGCTGTGGGTGGCTGTGTTGTTGTTGGCACTGCGGCAGTGAAGAAGCCGTGGGTGGCTGTGTTGTTGTTGCTGGTGACTCAGTGGTAGTAATAGTTGTGGGTGGCTGTGTTGTTGTTGGTGACTCAGTGGTAGTAATAGTTGTGGATGGCTGTGTTGTTGGTGACCCAGCGGCAGCAGCAATAAAGGTGATGGCTGTGTTATGCCAGCATCCAGTGGTGTGGGCTGTGGGTGGTTGTGTTGTTGCTTGGTGACTCCAGTGGCAGTAATAGCTGTGATGGCTGTGCTGTTGCTGCTGGTGACCAGTGGCAAGGGGCTGGTTGTGATGCCGTGTTGTTGCTGTTGGTGACCCAGTGGTGGTGGCTAGTTGTGGATGGCTGTGTTGTTGTTGTTGGTGACCCAGTGGTGTGAAATAGTTGTGGATGGCTTTTGTTGTTGCTGGTGGTGACCCAGTGGTAGTAATAGCTGTGGGCATGTGCTATGTTGCTGGCACCTGCGGCGGGGTTGAAGCGACGCCGTTGTTAGCTGCTGCTGGACTCCAGTGGTGCGGCCAGTTGTGATGCAGCTGTGTTGTTGCTGGTGACCCAGTGGCAGCATGTGCTGTGATGCATGTGCTGTTGCTGGTGACCAGTGGTGGGCAATAGTTGTGGGGTGGCTGTGTTATTGGTGACCTCAGCAGTAATAGTTGTGATGGCTGTGTGTTGCTGTTGTTGCTGACCAGTGGCAGTACACAGTTGTGATGTACGTGTTGTTGTTGTTGGTGACCAGTGGCAGTGTTAGCCGTGACGGCTGTGTTGTTGTTCTCGGACCGCGGTGTCAGTTGTGGATGGCTGCGTTGTTGTTGTTGTTGCTGACTCAGTGGCAGTAATAGCTGTGGATGGCTGTGTTGCTGTTGGTGGTGACTCAGTGGCAGTAATAGCTGTGGACAACGGTTAAGCGTTGTTGACTCAGCGGCAGTAATAGCCAGGATGGCTGTGTTAAGCGTTGTTAAGTCGACCAAAGTGGCAGTACTGAAGCTGTGGATGGCTGTGTTGTTGCGCGCCACAGACTCAGTGGTAGTACAGGCTGTGATGGCTGTGTTGTTGGTGACCCAGTGGTAGTAATAGTTGTGGGTGGCGAAGTTGTTGTTGGTGACGCAGTGGCAGTAATAGCTGTGATGGCTGTGTTATTACAGACCAGCGGCAGTAATAAGCTGTGGATGGCTGCAAGCTGTTGCTGGCGGACGGCGCGGCAGTACGCTGTGGATGGCTGTGTTGTTGCTGGTGACCCGGAAGTGGCAGTACAGTTGTGGATGGCTGTAAGCTGTTGTTGGTGACCTGCGGTGCAGTAATAGTTGTGGATGGCTGTGCGGCGCAGCACGGTGGTTATTGGCTGTGATGGCTGTGCTACAGCTGGTGACCGCAGGAAGTAAGAAGCTGTACGCTGTGTTGTTGTTGGTGAACCCGCGGTATTGCTGTGATGGCCGTGTTGTTGCCGGTGACCAGTGGTGCAATAGCTGTGGATGGCTGTGTTGTTGTTGTTGACCCAGTGGCAAAGGGCAGATGCCGCTGTTGTTGGTGAATTGCGGTGGTGTATTAGTTGTGGATGCTGTGTTGTTGCTGACCAGTGGCAATAGTTGAGGATGGCCGCTGGCGTTGACTCTGTCGTGTAATAGTCGTGATGGCTTGCTGTTGCTGGGACCTGCGGTAGTGGGTTAGGCTGTGAAGCCTGCCGTTGCCGACTCAGTGCAGTAACAGTTGTGACGGCTGTGTCGTTTGTTAAAAGACTCAGTGGTACCAATAGTTGGGTGTGATGGCTGTGTGCTGTTGTTGGTGACCCAGCGTGTAAAGGGCTGTGGATGGCTCTGTTGTTGATGACCAGTGGCAGCAATAGTTGCAGGCTGTGTTGTTGTTGTTGGCGACCAGTGGCAGTAATACAGTATTGGCTCTGTTGTTGCTGGTGACTCAGTGGCAGCAATAGCGACGTGCCGTTGTTGGTGACCAGCAGCAGTGGGTCAGCGTGGATGGCTGTGCTGTTGCAGACCAGTGTAGTACAGTTGTGGGTACGTGCGCTGCTGGTGACCTGCGGCAGTAACAGCCGTGTACAGCAGCCGCTGGTGACCAGCGTAGTAAAATAAAGTCAGGTGGCCGTTGTTGTTGTTGGTGACCCGTGGTAGTAAGCATGGATAGCTGTGCTGTTGCTGGTGACCCCAGCGGCGGGTAACAGGCTGCGTGGCTGTGCGGTTGTTGGTGACCCAGTGGCGTAATAGCTGTGGTGGCTGTGTTGTTGCTGGAGACCAGTGGCAGTAATAATAGCTGTGGATGGCTGTGTTATTGTTGACATCTCAAGCGGTAGTAATAGTTGTGATGCATTAAATATTGTTGATGCACCTGTGCGGCAGTAACAGTTGTGATGCATGTGTTGTTGTTGTTGTTGGTGACTCAGTGGTGCAATAGTTGTGATGGCTCTGGTTGCTGCTTGGTGACCAGTGGTGGTGGCGAGCGTGGCGCTGCGCGTTATTGGTGACTCAGTGGCAGTGGTGTTAGTTGCGTGCCGTGCTGGTTAAGTTGGTGACTCAGTGGTAGTAATAGTTGTGGATGGCTGCAGTTGCTGTTGCTGGTGACCAGTGGCAGTAATAGCTGTGATGGCCTCTGTTGTTGCTGGTGACTCAGTGGTAGTAAGAAGCGATGGCTGTGCTGTTGGCTGGTGACCCAGTGGCATGAGCTGGGTGGTTGTGTTGTTGCTGGTGACCCGCAGCAGCAAGATGGTGGCCGTGTTGTTGGTTGCTGGTGACCTGGCGGTAGTAATAGTTGCGCTGCCGGTTATGCTGTAGACCCAGTGGCAGTAAGAAGCTGGTGGTGGCTGTGTTGCATGGCACCGGGTGGTAGAAGAAGTTAGGATGGGCCTGGCGTTGTTGGTGACTCAGTGGTAGTAATAGTTGTGGGATGGCTGCGTTGTTATTGCGACTCAGTGGTAGTAATAGTTGTGGGTGAAGGTGCCGTTGTTGAGACTCAGTGGTAGTAATAGTTGTGATGGCTGTGTTGGGTTAAGCTGGTGACCAGTGGTAGTACAGTTGTGGGGTGGCTGTATGTTGCTGGCACTCAGTGTAGTAATAGTTGTGGGTGGCTGTGTTGTTGTTGGTGACTCAGTGTAGTAATAGTTGTGGATGGCTGTGTTGCCGGCACCAGTGGTAGCAATAGTTGTGATGGCTGTGTTGTTGTTGCGATTCAGTGGCAGTGGGTTAGCTGTGGGGTAACAGTTGTTGTTGGTGACCAGTGGTAGCGTTAGCTGCATGGCTGTGTTGGTTGTTGTTGGTGAATTAGTGCAGGCAACAAGGTGATGGCTGTGTTAAGTTGTTGTTGGTGACTCAGTGGTAGTAATAGTTGTGGATGGCTGTGTTGTTGTTGTTGGTGACCCAAAAGTGGTAGTAATGAAGCAGATGGCTTATTAAGTTGTTTTGGTAGACCAGTGGTAGTAATAGTTGTGGGTATGTGCTGTTGTTGTTGCAGACCAGTGGCAGTAATAGTTGTGATGGCTGTGCCGTTGTTGGCGTCGAACCGCAGTAGTAAATGGCCAGATGGCTGCTGTTGTTGGCGAATTCCCCAGCGGCAGTAATAGCTGTGGATGTCGTATGCGCGCGGCGACCAGCGGCAGCAATAGCTGCGTGGCTGTGCTGTTGGTGACCTGGTGGTAGTAATAGCTGGGTGGATGCCGTGTTGTTGCTTGGCGTTAACTGCGGCAGTATTGTTGTGATGGCTGTGTTGTTGTTGTTGTGGGCAATCTGGCGGTAGTAATAGGCTGTGGATGGCTGTGTGTTGTTGCCTGGACCCAGTGCAATGGTTGTGATGGCTGTGTTGTTGCTGTTAAGTTGACCAGTGGTAGCACGGTTGTGGATGGCTGTTGTTGCTGGTGGTGACCAGTGGTAGTAATAGTTGCGGGATGCCCTGTTGTTGTTGCTGGGACCGCGCGCAGTAATAGCTGTGATGGCTGCGGTTGCTGTTGTTGTTGACCTGTGCGGTGGCATGCATGGCTGTGTTGTTGTTGGTAGACCAGTGGTGGCAATAGTTGTGGGATGCATGCCGCGTGACCAGCAGGCAATAGTTGTGGGTGGCTGTGTTGTTGCTGGTGACGCAGTGGCAGCAATAGTTGTGATAGCCGTGTTGTTGTTGGTGACCCGCGGCAGTAATAGCCAGTGACGGTCAAAAGTTGTTGCTTGGGAGACGGCGGCAGCAATAAAGCCGTGGAGCCGTCAGGCGTTGTTGGTGACCAGTGGCAGATGCCGGTGTTGTTGTTGCTGGCGGACCCGCAAAGTATTATTGTGACGGCTGTGTTGTTGTTGGCACGGCAGCAATAGCTGTGACGGCTGTGCTGTTGTTGCGACTCAGCAGTAGTAATAGTTGTGGATGGCTGTGTTGTTGTTGGTGACCAGT